TTAAAATTTTGAATATTCATGAAGTTCATCAAACGGGAAATTAATATCCGATTCCATTCAGACTCATCTCAATATTTCAATAAGCAAATATTATAGAGATTGTAGAGATCGGACCAGTACTACTGGTACCTCCCCCACAAAGGGTAAATATTTTGAATATCCATGAAGCTCATAAAACGCGAAATTAACATTCGATTCCATTGAGACTATCTCATATTACTAACAGCACAGGATTTGTTATAAAGATGGCAGATATCATTTATTCTGGTACCTCCCCCACATACGGTTCAAGATTTTGAAAAACAAAACTCTCAAAGAAAGTAAAATAAGCATCCAGCTCTCTTTAAATTTCACAAATACAAACATTTTTTTCTCACACAAGATCTGTTGCGAAGATAATAGATATCTGTCAAATCCTTCTGATACCTCACCCACAAAGGGTCATAATTTTCAATACTTATCTGTAATATCTTGCGAAAAGCGATTCTTTACAACTTGATATATCTAATTATTTATCTTAACCATGATATCTGATATGAATATGGAATTTATCGGGATTGATGACGTCGCAAAAAATTCGATGAATTTTCGATTTTTTTTGTAAGTTTGCACATACCAAAATGTTTATTTGTATTATATGGAGTATGAAAATGGAATACTTCGGTCCACTATATCCGGTACATTACGCACATTTTCTAAATATTATCACATATATCGTCTAAATTGAAGGAAGTAGTCGATGCGACCTTCAGTTCGACGGCCTCCTTCAACTCGCTTGCTCCATCTCGCCTTTAGAGACGAACTCCGACTCCAGCTGGTCTACAATGATTAAAAGACTCTCTGTTCTCAGCTCGTTTATCAAAGGCTTTCCCATCTCAGTTTCCACTTCCTGAGTTTTCTAAGTCTCCCATTTCTCAGCTCCTTTATTAAAGACTTCCTTGATAATCCTCTACACCGAAAACGTTTTATTACCCCCATTTTATTACCATCCAATAAATTACCCTACGCCCTCAAACTCTAACCGTCTGGTGGGTATCTCATCCTGCAATCCGTACATGATATGACAACGAATTAAATTTTAATGAATTTCTAATTTTCTTCAAATGACAAAATTGCGACAGGAGTGACTACTGAGGGTGGGGTGAGAGACGGAATGAAACAAGCATCAAATCAAATCACTTGTTATAACTACAAGAACAAGAGCAACAAGAACAGCGGCAGCATCAACATCATTACCATCGCCATCACCATCGTCTGTCTGTGGTGTTTGTTTTACTTTTCAAAAGAACACTTCTTTTCCGTTCTTCTTCGAACACTTGTTCTAACAGCTAACTAATTTTGACACTTGAGTTACTTCCGATTTCGTTATTTCCGGTTGAATAAATGTGCCAACATTAAACTGTTACCAGCCAAAACAGTGTAAAATAGCTACAGCGAGAGAGTGAGCAAGAGCCAGACATATGGTGCTACAGACAGGAAGAGAGAATAGGAGAATGAGTAAGAGAGGAGGGATAAAGGCAGGATTTGGAGCAATGCCATAAGGAATAATAACATATGTATGTATGTGTATGTGTGTGTTTGAGTGTTTTTGTGTGTGGTATGAACGTCAGGGTGAGTTAAGGCATCCATCCGTCGCATGCGGTGAGGGATGCATATTATTGAGTTCAGGGATACTGTTGTTGTTACACCCAGCCAACCATTAAAGGTCCAAGAATTCTTGCGTCACCCAGTTTTATTACACACCCTCTCTCACTCTCCCTCGCTCCACATTTCATTAGACATTCTTATGCACATATTTCACTGAATAAGGGTGGGTGGTTTTTTCCCCATTCCTTCCACTATCATCCAAAAATTAAGGAAAGCAAGCATGTGCTAAGTGCTCTTGGTCAACATTCCAGATTATTTTCATGCATTTTTATTTTGCTTATTGTGAATACGTGTTTCACATGTCCATTTTTTGCAATTCTCCTTTGGCACCAACAATGACCTGGCATTTAATTTTAATCATTGAAAGATTTGCTGATCATTGTTCTTTAAAGGAATGTCATTTGACGAGCTGAAAGGGGAGATGACCACAAGGAAGCAGTTTAAGGCCATTAAAAGAGAGTCTTCATAGACGAGGGGAAGGTAGTCATAATAGACTAGAGGAGCTGAAGGTGGTCTTTTTAGACGAGTTGAAGATAGTCTTTATAGATAAGCGGTAATTAGAAAAACTAAGTGTCCATTCTTCTGTAGAGCGTCTTTGTATAGATAAAAAGTCTCCATGTAAATCTCTTTGACGAACTGGACAGGTACTCTTCTTAGATTAGCTGGGCAAGGGGACTTTACCGAGGAGCTCGTTAGTGATTCTATTAAAATGGAGTCTTTATAGACGAGCTAATGTGAGTCCCTGTAGATGAGTCTTTGTAGAAAGGTGGGATTCGTTGAAGCTTAAAATTGGAACCTATAGTTTATTATAACTTACACCACACACTCACAGTGGTAAGGGTATTTGATCTTTGTGTATTTGTAACATGGAGAACGTTATAGACCCATAGTTGCTTTTGAGAATCTTTTTAGAATCACTTTCTGAGTCGATTCATGCATATCAAAATGCAGGTCGCGTTTATTATCCGTTTGAGATGAAATTTTATATTTGTTTGGGCCAAGGACGAACCACATTGAAATTGGTGAGAATCGATTCAAATTTAGATATAGCTTTCATATATATCTTCAACTGATTTCGGGTTAATTGTGCACCAAATGGCCAATATCAGTCGAAGTGACCTGAATTTTGGCACATCTGGCTAAATCCATCCTAGAAACAAGTACTTCAAATTTGGTGAAAATCGGTTCAAATATAGCTAGAGCTCCCACATATATGTTAAACCCGATGTGGGTGTTTAAGTCCCTCGCATGCGTAATATGTACTCCACAAGAATAATATTTGATACCAGATATGAAATACAGCCCAGAAATATCTCTGTCAAATTTTATCGAGATCGAATCAGAATTGCATATAGCTCCCATATATATCTTTATTCGATATTAGGTTTGTTGTGCACCACTCTTCTGGTACCTCCCCCACAAAGATCAAAATTTTAAATAACCAACACGACGGTAAAATCCGAAATTAACATCCGGTTCCCTTCATATTTCACACATCCCATTATTTCTACTAAGACAAGATCTGCTGTAACAATGAAATATATCGGTTCAATCCTTCTAGTACCTCCTCCTCAAAGGGTCAAAATTTTGAACAATCATGAAGCTCATAAAACACGAAATTAACATCCGATTCGATTCCGACTTGGCACATCTCAATATTTCCATCAACACATGATCTATTGTAAAGGATGGTATCGATCGGACCATTTCTTCTGAAAAACTTTGACTGATTCAAGAACCAAAAAAAAAAAAAAAAAAAAACCAAGAAAAAATGAACAATTCAAAAAGAATACATTCTTAAATGCTCATGACTGGCTCATAACTTATGAGCGGAGGTTGGAAAACTCTGGAGAGTGTATGCCACATAGGGTTCAAGGTTTTTGAAAAAGAAAAATGCTAGATAAGCATCCAACTCTCTTCAAATTTACTCATCGAAATATTTTTCCTAACATAAGATCTTTTGTGAAGATGTATATATCTGTGAACTCCTTCTTTTACCTCACCTACAAAGGGTCGCAATTTCCAATATCTGTCGTAACTTGCGAAACATGCCGACGATTCTTTACAACTTGCTATATCTAAATATTTTTCTTAACCAGAAATTTGATATGAATATGTGATTTATCGAAATTTATGATTTAGCTTAAAATTGGATATAAATGTTCGATTTCCTTCAAATTTTGCAGATACCAATATTTTTTATCTATATTAGATGAAGTATGAAAATGGAATACTTCGGTCGATTATCATAACTCAAGGCTGGGGTAAAAATCTGTTGGCAAAACCGACTGATACTTTTTAATTTGTTGAATAAAAATATAATGGATAGGGTATACACGCTTCGACCAAATCATGCCAAGCGCCATATGCTATTCCCATTCATTTCAAACACAGTTTGGTATAAAGTTTATTTTCCCTCTGCACCACCATATGGGCATTGCTATCGCGGTGGCAGCAGCTGCTGCGTAATCATTTGTTCTTAGCTAGCATCATGAAGACGAAAATGATGATGACGTCGATGATAATGAAGTTGATGATGCTTCTGGCGATGTTGATGCTCATAATGATAGTGGGTGTTAGTTATGTGGTATGTGAGGTATTGGGGCGAGGAAGGGGTGGTTGTATTGGGGTGCTGCTGTTGCTGCTTATGTGGTGGCTATTGCGGTGGAATGTTTACAAAATGTATTCGGTTGGGAAAGTTTGTTGAGTGGGTCAAGGTTAGATGCATATTATAAATAATGTCATTGTTTTTGTTTTAATTTCGTATTCCTTTTCCATTTTGCCTTCTAACCTCGTTGCTGTTCTGCTGGTTGCCTTTGTTTTACTGTATTTTCTTTTTTGTAACTTTAACAAGAGTTCACAAGATTAACTTTTTTTTTGAAGAAATCTCGGAACAGGCAAATACTCTTTTTACAGCGTAGTAGTTTATGGAAGGCACAAAACGAGTAAGACTTTGAGAAGTACAAAAAGGAGGGATTACACAAAGAAGGATCAAAGCTGAAGGTCGTCTTTATAGAAAAACTGAAGGTCGTCATTATAGACGGGCTGAAGGTCGTCTTTATAGACGTTAGACGTTATAGACGGGCTGAAGTTCATACCTCTACACGACTTGAATTTCGTCCATCTGGATAAAGGTCGTAGTTGTAGACGACGAAGGCCTCGTCTTGAAGAGTATTAGATTAATATTAGCGCATCGAGGTTAAAAGGAGATTTTTTTTTGGCGTACTCAGTGCTTTCTTTGCAGACGTGTTCCTTTTACACCTTCAGCTTTCACCCGAATGTTCAATCTACTCATCGTACTATTGAAATTACACTTTTTACTAATCTCTTCTCATTTCCATTGTCTCTTCCAGAAATTCTCCATCATGTTGATACGCGTGATTTATAACTAAGTGGTGGATACGCATAAAATAATAAAACTTTGACTGATTCAAGAACCAAAAAAAAAAACCCAAGAAAAAATGAACAATTCAAAAAGAATACATTCTTAAATGCTCATGACTGGCTCATAACTTATGAGCGGAGGTTGGAAAACTCTGGAGAGTGTATGCCGCAGAAACAGAATTCCATCAGATAGTTTTCTAATCTCCTCATTGATAGAAATTCTTTAGGATAGTTAAACAAAAAACGCATACTAACAACCACACATTCTGAAAAAGGATTAACAAGACGAAGAAGAAGGCCGAGAACAAGAGCAAAACAAAATGGGTGCAAGTGCATCATCAGCAGGGGGCGGAGGTGGGGGTTATCCATCGGTAATGACCTCCTCACAACAGAGTGGCCATTCTTCGGCCATGGGTGGTATGCCACCGGGGACAAGTACCAGTTCCAGTTTGCTACTGCCATCAACGGGGGCCAATTCACTGTTGTCCAGCTCGATGGGTGGCCTCAGTGGCGGTGGTGGTGCGTTTGGCCCTCATTTTCGAGAGCCTCGCCGGAAACGTGTTACGGGGTTTGCAACGCTAAAGCGTAAATTTATCAGACGACGGCGTTCCTCCAAAGCTTGTGATCATGCCAGAGTTCTAAGAGATTTTGTTTCCGACTGGACGCCACTGGAGCTGGCAGCACTGTGTGAGGAGTATGAATCACTGTCGGCCTTACGTGATTTATCGGTAAGCTAACGGTGTAAATAAGTTTTAAAAGGCAGTTTTTATTTTTTGCTCTTTTCCTCCAGATGCAAGCCGAGCTGGCCCGACCACCTGCTACCACATACAAACAAGATCTTGCAGCTCTCTTTGAAACGAAGACTTGTACAGACTGTGATCTCGTCTTCCGTGGCGCCATATTTCCCGTGCATCGTTGCATACTGTCATCGCGATGCACATATTTCCGTGACCTTCTCGCCAGTTGTCCTGGTTTTGGAGCTCGCATTTGTCTCGAATTACCTGCCTCACCAATAGATGTTCAAATGTTCGCCTCACTGTTGCGGTATCTGTATACGGGAGACTTGTGTCCACATGATTCCAGTATTGATATAGGGCTTCTGCGGCAACTGGGCGATGATTTTGGCACACCAAATCCTCTGGAACATGATTTGCGGTACTTACTGGAAACTGGTGATTATGCGGATGCCGCCTTGGTTTTCACATCAGAGAGCTGTGGCGGCGGTGGTGGTGGTGGAGTTGGAGGATTTTTAGGTGCTGGCGCCAGTGGTAGCAGCATTATTGGTGGAGGCAATGGTGGTCTGGGTATTACAGGGGTTCTGGGTGGTGGCGGCGATGCCTATAACCGCCCCGATTCGGGTAACTCCGAATACGGATTTCGTCCCAAACTAGAGCTGCCCTGCCACAAAGCGATTCTCAGTGCCAGATCGCCGTTCTTTCGTAATCTCATAGCCAGGCGGACACGTAACATGGATGCCGAATATGCCGAACGGGCGTTGCATGTGCCAACGCGTATTGTCCTCGATGAGACCGTGATACCAAAACGTTATGCTCGTGTTCTTTTACATGCCATTTACTTGGATACCGTAGACTTAACATTAATTTTAAGAGGTGCCAATTCGGGTACTACAGCGGCTGGTTCGCTGGGTGAAGTACATGCACTGACGGCGGGCCGTACACGGCCCACACCATTGGAAGAGGCCATGGAGTTGTATCAGATTGGTCGCTTTCTGGAATTGGACATATTGGCCCAGGGTTGCGAAGATCTCATATTAGAATGGCTGACCCTGGACACGCTGCCAACGGTGCTTAAATGGGGTAGCCAGGTAAGCTAAAGGAGAATGAATTCAAATGCCAATGTGTTTTAAATGTCTCTTTTTTTGTTGCTTTCAGCCCCATGGTTCGGCGTGGGTGTTTCGCCAAGCTTGCCAATATTTACGTGAAGAGTTCTCTGCAGTCATTTCATCGCCTGTTCTTCATCAGCTCGACAAATCACAGCTCATTCATGTTTTACAGTCGAATTTCTTGCAAGCTTCCGAGCTGGAAGTGCTCCAAGCCGTTCTCAAATGGGGCGAACAAGAGCTTATACGGCGCATGGAAGACCGTGAACCCAATCTACTCTCACACACTGCCCATTCGGTGACACGCAAAGGTGTCAAAAAACGTGACTTAAGCGATGTAGAGCTACGGGAGATACTCTCGGACCTGCTGCCTTTGGTGAGAATGGATCATGTGTTACCGCCCAATAGTGAGGTGCTGGCCCAAGCCATACGTCGGGGATTGGTTAGCACACCACCCTCGCACATGATCGGCGATGAACGGGAGAATCTCAGGGTAAATGCCTGGATCAGAGGTGGTAAAAATCAAGGTCTATTTGTGAGACCACGACTGTTTATGCCGTACTTTGAGGAAATCAAGGCATTGCTGGAAGATCGCATGACCTCATCACATCATCAGGCCGAGCTGATGAGAATGCGTCGTTCGCGGCAAATGCCCGACATACCCGACACCCTGTATATGGTTTCTCGCATGAATGCTGCCTCCAATAGTGGTGTTGGCAATGCCGGCGTGGGTTCCGGCACAGACACTGTAGATATTTTGGCAGCTGCGGCCGCCATACCACCACCAGATACTCAAACCTTAGCTGCCATGTTGAAGCGCGAACACAAACTGCGCCAGTCACAATTGTGCCAGCGTGCTTTACATCTGCCACTATCTTCCAAACATGAAATCGATCGGCAAATACGTTTGCGTGTCGTTAGAGAATTTAATTTGCCCGATGCCGTTTCGGATCTCTTGGAGACGTCACTGTTGGGCAATCCCCGCAATGTAATGCAAGAAGAAGTACAAAATATGGCTGACTCCACGACTACGGTGCAATCGGTAGATGACTGTTGTCTGTTGGAGGACGATGATCAAAGTCCCCCACCTTCGCCGGCGGCAGCATCAGCAGGCTCAGTGCCTCGACATGCGTCAGCGATGGGAGCCAGTTATCTGTCGACATCATCGGCAGCCACTTCGTGTAGCAGTGCGGCTGTAGCGGGAGGTGGAGGTGCGGGCGGCGTTGGAGATACATTGCCCTCTTGTTATACAAGAAATTTAACATTCCCCCGACAACATGCTGCTGGTCTATTGGGCTTAAGCGCGATGGGAACGGGTCTACCTCCGAATTTTGCTCGTCTCTCGGCCTCAGCACATCATCGTAATGATCTGCCGGCACTAATAACTGAAGGTGATTACCGTGGTTTTGCTCATGGTTCAGCCATTGGTTTGGATATGGGTGGTGCCGAAGGTGGTGCAATGGGCTGTGCAGACGGTGCCAATGCTGGTCATTTATCGGATATGATGCCTGATGTGGCAATGGCAACAGCTTCATTGGGTCAACTTCATCTGGCCAATGCTGGCAGTTCAGCGAGCAGCACTAATGATATGCCTGAATCGCTGCAATTGGATTTGGGCGATGGTTCAAGTCATATGATGGGTGCAGCCGGGGGAGGAGCTGCAGCGGGACCAATGGGAGGATTACGTGGTTTGCAGGTATGTAAGGGTTCTGGTGTTCTACACAATGGCATACTCAGCATAAATTGTAATTTATAACCAATCATGGATGATATTTAAAGATTGTTTATATGGCATACCTTTTGTGACCCTCTCCACATGTGATAAAGATTAAAAGTACCTATAAATCTTATTCAATTCGAGGGCTATATCCAAATTGCATGATCATGAACTATGTTTACTCGGTAGAATTTCTTATTTTCTAATGGAACAATTTTATATCTCTCTTGTTTTTTTGCAGCATCAATTACCTCCTAGTAATTATCATCATTTTATGCAGCGATCAAATTCACCATTCGATGTTTTAAGACAAGGCCAACATTCACCAGCACCTGCGCCGCAACAACATCCACCACCTGGGACGTACAATACAGGACCACCACGTTTCTTATAGAGTTTGCGTGTGGCCCCCGATGAGGGCCTTTATTTTAGCATGCCTTTTTGACAAAAAGCACAAACACACCAACAACAACACCCAACTACCATCACTCCACAAATCTATGGCCAGCTGCTACCCGATAATAAATATGGAAAACCAAAATATCTTTATGTAAAGTCCTCACACCAACCAACTAAACCATCAGCAACATCCACATCAAGAAGAACCTCTACAAAAATGCCACATAACATTAAACACTTCAATTTACCTAACTTAAATCTACTCTCCTAAAACAAACCCCAAAAACAAAAACATCAAAAAATTATCAGCTAAAATAAAGTACACGCGCTCAAATTAAAGGGATATGAAAAAAACTACAGAAAATAACAGCAAACTTCTTTCAAAAGGAAGTTTGGGAAAAAAGACAACATTTTAAGACCTCCCTTTTTTGTTCTTCTCTACTTAAAATAATTTTGTAAAACAAAAACAAAACAGTGTATAGAGGGTAAATCAAAATGAAGTGACGAGAAATGTTATTATATTTTTTTTAAAGAGTAGCTAATATGAGTTTGAATATTCAGATGACAGACTTGATTTTTTAAATGTAATTTTTAAACGACCTGTTTTGTATGAGTATTAAAAAGTGACATCGAAAGGAACACATCTATTCCTTATAAATTTTCAATTTTTTTATTTTTATTTAATTTAAAAAAATTTCATGGAATTGGTGTTTCTCTTTCGACTTCCCTTGCTGCATATCGTCCTAAATTGTTTTACATTTTGTGAAAAATTAATTCTGTTTTAAACTGTCGCATACTTTGTACCGGAGGAAAAATAAATAAGTTTAAATATTCTTCGGGCCTTTTTTGCCATGCCCTCTGTGCACACAGAACAACTTTCTTCCTCTATGCTCCTATATTGTCCCCACCCGCCTACCACACACATACACAAAACATTTCTTCTATTCCACCATCCTTCACACTGTACTTCTCTTCTCTATATAGTAATATAAATATGAAATATATAATATTAGTTTATAAAGTTGTTTAATATATTTTTAATTTTCATTCGATTTATTATTAGATTTTAGTAATTTATATAATTGATAACAAATAACGAAAACAAAACGTTGTTAGCAAATATTTTTATTGTATTTAAATTTCAAAAAAAAAGCAACCAAGAAAAGAATAAACAAAAACAAAACAACTCGAAATAATTTAGTTGTAAAATAATTAAATAAATTATGAAACATAATCTACAAATTGTGAAATGAACAAAACAAATGCCCACTCCCTTAAAAATACAAAAAAAAAAAAACAAAAATGCGTTTGAATTACACTCTATTATACAAAAAAAAAGGAAACCAGAAACAAGTTAAATAAATTTAAATATAAATAAAACAAATTATAAATATAAAACAACAAAACAAAACATGTTATAATTTACAAAATTATTAAGCAAACAAAGAAAAAAAAAACAAAACAAATAAAATAAACTTAAAAATGAAATATAATAATTATAAATAAAGCCTTTGAATGAAAACGAACCAATTCAAAAAATAAAAAAAAAATGTAGTTAAGCTTTATTTTTTATGGAAGAGAAATGACAATAGAATAGATTTTGATCCATTCCCGGCGAAGCGCTTGCTTGAGGTTATCGACACTGGTATTTTTGTAGTGCCAACCTTGCAAAATAATCCAGACACAATAGTTCAACGGATTGGTATCTGAAATGAAGCGAGGAAACTAATTTTGTAATCATTCTTGGTGGCGCGTGCTGAGTGCGATGTTTGCTTGCCCAAGGCTTTAATTCGACCTCCAGAATATTTTTGCGATAATATTCGGCATTTATTCTGATGCAACGGTGGATTAAACGAGCGGAGAGCGACCATTGGCTGTTATGGTGGCCAACCGAAGGTGCACATTTCAAGCTGACCTCTTTGGCAAGTAAACACGATCATTTTGTTTGTTTACAAACTTCTGGCAACGAATGTTTTCTCATCGGAGAAAACCAAATTCGGCAGTTCACCACTTTCGGCCAAGAGAGTCTATTTTTTCTGTTGCGGAGTAAGATCTTGCATTTTTGGAATTTAAATGTCTTTACTTCAAGCTGATTTTTCAATACTTGCCGAATGGAATATTGCGATATGTTCAGCTCACGAGCCATTTTTCGTCTACTGCGACGCTGGTTTCGATCAAGTCACTTCTTTACTTTTACCATTTCTGATTATGTTGCTGTTTTCTTCCGTTCACTTCCTTGACGTACGCTACCAGTATCACTGTAACTAGCGAGGTTACGATACAGAAAAGATTTATTCACATTTAGATGTTGGAGTTCTCGTTACCACCACTTGTGGTTTTCCAGCAAAATATAAAGAAATCACACTATCACGCTTGAATTCCATCACGAATAACTTGTTTCGGGAAAACTCTCACCAAAATGCTATCGTACGCTTGTAAACAATATAATGAGCTGTCACTGGAATAATTTTAACAGCTATCAAACAAGTGAAGTTGGTTGCAGTTTTCAACTCACCCTGTAGGGTGAGAGCTGAAATTCTCAAGTTGGGCATTGAGATCACTATTGGTTTCCAGGGTTTACGTGTGGAGAAGTTGAAATAGTTTTGGACAAACAAATTTGATGTGTGTCCAATGTCCAATAGTTTTACTAATATCCTCCTCAGTAACCTTTAAATTGAAAGATTTTGAAGACTTCATTCTTTCCCAAAAAGGAAAATTTTGAAAAATATATAAAACCATGGAAGTCTGAAAATTTAGGACGATGTATGAAGTTTGGATTAAAAAATCTTTTCAAACTAAACAAAATGAGTACTAAAACTCTTGGAATGAATTTTGAAATTGTTAGGTGGAGATTTCGCTGACGAAGTAGCCGGTGTTTCCTAGTATATTTATGTATGCAATTATCGATAAGAAATTAATATGGTCTGAATGCGTTATTCTAGGGGGAAAATGGTAGGCTGAAATGGTAAAGTTGAGTGGGTTTTTGGAGTCATTCTGACGTTGGTATAGAAAGGTTTGTGCACTATGAATGCGAGAGTCAAGTGTGGGTGTGGGTTACAAACGGATTTAGTTCTCCAAGAAGGTTCATGATTTTTTCAACAATATTCATCGGAATTGTTTCAAATTTGGTATTTGAAGAAATGGATACTAAAACCTAAGACAGAAAATTGTCTGTGCAGGTCCACGTCTTTGTATAGCCCCATATAACGGTACCTTCCGATATTCGGTATTTTGATGATTTTAGCGACATTATTCCCCGGGATTGTTTCAAATTTGGTATTTAAAGTTCGTAATGAATACGACAGACAGAAAATTGTCTTTGCAGGTCCACGTCTTTGTATAGCCCCCATATAACGGTACCTCCCGATATTCGGCACTTTAATGTTTTTAGCGATATTATTCACCGGAATTGTTTCAAATTTGGAATTTGTTCGTTCGTAATGGATAATACAGCCTATGACAGAAAAGTGTCTGCGCAGGTCCACATTTTGGTATAGCCCCCATATAATAGTGCCTCCCTATATTGATGATTTTAGCTACATTATTCACCGATTTTTTTTTCAAGTTTCGCATTTGAATATTGTCATGGCTTATGACAAAAGATTCCTATGCAGGTACACGTCGGCTATATTTGGTATTTTTTAGATTTTAATTTTAATAATTTTTAGAATTTTTAACGGATTTTATTTTTTTTGGAAAATTGCCAAATAGTGGAGGGTATTCAGAGTTCGGCCCGGCCGAACTTACAGCTTTTTTACTTCTTATACTTCAAAAAAGTGACATTAGTTCTTAAATCTACTTAGCATAATTTTCTTAATTTTCTAAGTTTATCCAGTTACTATATTTGAGTGGCCGCAGCTTAGCTGGTAGCTAACTTTATACTCAAATATTTCTAAACACTTAGAGTTATAGAAATCTCTTAAGAAACATGAGTAAATGTATTTATTCTCTAAAAAAAAACCTTTGATCTTTAAATAAATTTTACGACAGCTATAACATATAGAATATGAGAATAGAGATAAATACGCATTTTTAAACAGCATTAGAATAGTTTGCATAAAATGCGACATAATTAGAATTGGTAAAAAAATAGTTGATAATTGACATTGTATTTTTCGAGTTAAACTAGAAAGTTGTTTCTAGGTTAGTTTTATTAACTGGAACGGAGGAATTTTTGAAAAATTTGAATAGATATAAATTTTGCGTAATTATAGTGACCGATAAAAACTTAGACAAATATTTCAGGTTTCTTTGGAATACGTCATAGCCAAATAAATTAATGAATACAGTTAACGATTGACGACTATTGATAATAAGACTTGAATTAGAAGCTTAGATAAGACAATTTTAGAAAAAAAAATGAAAAGATTCGTATTCAATGAGAAATCAAAATAGCAAATTGTAAAAAAATATGGTCCACTGCCCAAATTTGGTATAAACAAGTTCAAAAGTATCAGTCGGTTTTATCGACAGATGTATATCCTCAGCCAATGTTCGATTATTGAAATATATTTTGACCTTTGTTATGTTTACTTAAATTGATGACACTCTATGAAGTAGGTTCCGAAGGAATGGGTCAATATTGTCCATTTCGTATCAGACCTAAATATATATGGTATAAATATTGCGACTTGCCAGGTTTGGACTATATTGGTTACTTCCTTCACATTATATAATATATGTGATAATCTTAAGAAAATGTTAAAATGTACGCGGTTTACCATACATAGTCGTCGGAAGTATTCCATTTTCATATTTCACCTAATACAGATAAAACCAGTAAAGAAAGTCTTAAAGTCGGGCGGGGCCGACTTAATGATACCCTACACCACTTTGCTTATTTAGTTTAGTTAGCTGCGGAGGACTAAAAAAAACAAATCGGATGAACAATATATATTGGAGCTATTGCTATATCTGAACCGATTTCGATCAAATTTGGCATACCTATTTTCAGGCCTAATTTGGTTGTATGTGCAAAATTCCATACTATTCTGGCTGATATTACACGTTTGGTGCACAATATAAGGCAAATCGGAAGAAGATATATATGGGAGCTATATCTAAATTTTTACCGATTATTTCCAATTTCAATAGGGTTCGTCCTTGGGCCAAACAAATGATTTGTGCAAAATTTCATCTGGATCGGGTAATAAATTCGAACTGTACTCTGTTCAAAAAAAAATACATGGACAGACGGACGGACCGACATGCATAAATCGACTCAGAATGTGATTCTATGCAGATCATCAAAAGGAACTATGGGTCTACCTCGTTTCCTTTTGCCTGTTACAAACAAATGCACAAAGACATAATACCCTAACCACCTTGTGGTGTAGGGTATAAATATTGGCATGAGCAAAATTAAATGAAATCGAAGATTTATATCCAATTTTATGCGGAAACATAAATTCCATATTCATCTCATGTTTCTGGCTGAGTGAAATATTTAGGGATAGCAAGTTGTGAAGAATCGCTAGTTATGACAAATATAACTATTGGAAATTGTGACACTTTGTGGGTGAGGTACCAAAAGGGGTTCGCAGATATATATAAACTGCACAACAGATCTTGTGTTTGCAAAAATCTTGGGATGTGTGAAATTTGAAGAGAGTGGGATGATTTTTTCGCTTTTTGTTTTTCAAAATAATGAACCCTTTGTGCGGAAAGTACCAGAAGGAGTGCGCCGATATATCCCATTTTTACAGCAGATCTTGTATTACTAGAAATAATGGGATGTGTGAAATTTAATGAGAACCCGTTGCGGATTGCGGATTTTATGATCGTTTCGGTTATTCAAAATTTTGACCCTTTGTGGGGAAGGTACCAGAAGAAATGGTCCGATTTCTATCATCTTTATAACAGATTTTGTGTTGATAGATATATTGAGATATGCCTAATCTGAATGAAATCGAATGTTAATTTCATGATTATTTAAAATTTTGACCTTTGATGTGATGTGTGTTATTTGGAGACAATCGAACTACTACATCACATTTTATAAGAGTAATAATTATTCAAAATGTTGACCCTTTGTGGGGAAGATACTTGATGGAGCAGACTGATATTGCCCATTTTCACACCTGATCTAGCACTGATGCAAATATTAGTATTTGTAAATTTGGATTCGGATTATTCTTTCTCTTTCTGTGTGGTAAAATATATATATATATATTTTTTTTGAACATTTCGAACTTTTGTGGAGGAGGTACCAGAAGGAGTGAA